AAAAAAAAAAAAGGAAGAAAGAAAAAAATGTAACAAATAGAAATAAAATATGGAGCTTACCTGGAATCTCTCTTTGGCAATAGCGTTAGGGTAGATGAAGAACCTGGGTTTGAATCTTGGTTCTGTCACCTGCTAACACTGTGGCTTTGGGCAAATCACTTTCTCTGCCTGAACCTTAGCTGCTCTATCCGTGAACTGGGGATACTGATAGCACCAGTAAGGGTTTACTATAGGAGCTATGTGGATAGTTTATATGAAGCACTTCATTCAGTGTCTAGTACTTCAGTCGATGTTTGCCATTATTGTTTTTCTCCTGCTTTCAGTAGCCAAAAGGATTTTCTTTGGAAGCATCATAATGAATTAAGTAAGGTGTGCACAGCCATGGTGCCAAAGCAATGATTATTTTGGCGACCTCACAACAATTAGACCTTAAGGGTGATCTGTTTGTTTGTTTGTTTTTTTCTTACTGATTGATTGATTTTTGAAATGGACTTTTCTCCCCTACTTGGTTTCAGTATTCGGGATTTCACACGGAAAGATCGGAATCTGATCATGACAGCCAGTGGGGTGGAAGTCCCTTGACCGACGCAGCCTCTCCGCAGCTTCTGGATCCCGCCGACAGGCCTGGCTCCCAGCATGACGCATCCTGCGCCTACAGACAGTTCTCGGACCGCAGCTCTCTCTGCTATGGCTTTGCGCTTGACCATTCCAGGCTGGTGGAGGAGAGGCATTTCCATACCCAGGCCTGTGAAGGAGGCCGGTGTGAGGCAGGCAGGTACTTCTTGGGAACGCCGCAGGCCGGGAGGGAGCCCTGGTGGGGCTCTCGTGCAGCCTTGCCCCTGACCAAGGCCTCCCCAGAAAGCAGAGAAGCCTATGAAAACAGCATGCCTCACATCGCTTCAGTACACAGGATCCATGGTAAGAGCAGGTGGAAAGGTTTCCAAACTCCAAGCATTAGGCCCTGGGAAGGTTCATCCCATTCTAGATGTGACACTAGAGTGAATGATCAAATAGTTTTCTTTGATTTACAAATCAGAACAAATGGGATTAAAAAAGAAGTTCACTCTGTTACTGATTTTTTAGTGTTTGCCAAATACGTTTAGTTTTGACAAGTGAGTAAAAATGATTCCTATTTTAAACATCAGAGAGTGTAGAAATTATGTAGTTAATTATTAACTGTCAATTGAATTTGTAGTGTGTGTGCATTTACATTCCTCACGTATTATTTTCTTTTGTATTTTCATGCTTCAAATGTGGACTTGAATAGTCTGTAGACTCATTCGGTCATAGCAGTGTTTTTCAATGAGGGCACTATTGATGTGTTGGAGAGGGCCAGTCTTTGTTTTATGGACTGTCATATATATCACAAATGTTTAACCTTTCTGGGCATTAAATGCCAGTAACTTACCTTTTTTCCACCATTATTTGGCAACCCACAATAATGATCCCTTGAGTAAAGGATAGAGCAATATGTAGAATGCCCTGGGATTTTCACCTTGGGATAATTATATGGCTTTATAAACACATTGAAATGGGCACCATAGCTAAAGCCTTGATTGTTGCTAATGCTTCCCTTTGTTCATTTCAAAGTAAACTAGTTAAGAAGAGCTCATTACATCCACTCCATGCTTGGGTCCAGACAGGCCTTTGAAACCCTCCCCGTTTCATTAAAAGTCAGTGACATTAGGGTTGATCTGAAGGCCCTGATGCTACTACTCTTGTCTTTAGGATGAGAAATGTGCTAGACAATATTGTTTCCATTAATAAACATTCCTGTCAAATACCACTCAGAAGCTGAGTAATTTTAATCTGTTTCTATTCTTGCTTTCTATTTTTCTGATTTTACTCTGAGTATCTCTAGTTTGGTAGACTGGTAATAGAAACCTAGAGCAAAGGGCAATTACTTGCCAAAGAATAGAGTTAAGTGAAAATCCTGGCTTAACCTACAAGGTCTGGAAGAAAATATTAGAAATACAACAAGAAAAAAAGAGAAAAGGAAAGCAATGCATAGTGTGATCCAGGCCTTCTCTGCTGCATTAAGTAGTTTACAGCTTTCACATATTCCTACCTGTTTCTCTTCTGTCTTTCTATATTGACTTCAGACCATTCTGAGAATAATTTGGTTTATGGAATATACTTTGGATGCACTATTCCTCCTTATTTTATCTCTTTCCTTGGTTCCCAACAGGTTATTAAAATTGTCAATATTGTTTATTTTTACCTTACTTCAAAAACAATCTAAGGTACCTGAGTTGCTGTATGATTACCTGTGAAGCTGAGATGTTTACTCCTAAATTTGAAAAGATAATATTTTTGTTTTTATTTGAACAAGATTGTATCTATATCTATAGTCTTCATTTATATCTGCCCATGCTTACATGTACATATATGTGAATAGATGTATATTTTTAACTTCAAATACTCTAAAAGTGAATATTAGAGCTTTATTGTAACTTTACTTAAGATATAGTAGAGCTTTATTTTAACTCTACTTAAGATATATTTAGCAATATTAACATTTTAGGTTATTTATCTGGAAGTGAGAGAATAGTTCAGCCTATATCATTATTTTCCTCAAATGCAATTGAAAACATTTTCCAAGCATCAGCTTAACGTGGCACTCTCTAATAAACCAACATCTATGCATCCTCCTTTTATTTCCAGTCAGACAGGTTTAATAACATATATCCATGGAGAAGTATAAACACACTTTACCATTTTGCTAATTGTCATTCATGATGAACAGGGTTTATGTTCTAAGAAGCTTGTTATAAACTTGGTCTGCATTTAATATTCACTTATTTTACATGAATCCAGTGCAGAAAGTTGACACTCTGTCTATCATGTGAACCTGTGCCTGTTTCAAATATTGGTGTATATATTAAAAATGAAAGATATACAGTTTATTTTAATAGAAAAAGGAAATATAGTTATTTTTGAGGGTGAATTCTGAAATCACTTACTTTTGACTTTTTTGAATCTCTAGGGCGAGGTCATTGGGATGAAGATAGTGTGGTCAGTTCTCCAGACCCTGGGTCAGCCAGCGAATCAGGTGACCGATATCGTACTGAGCAGTATCAAAGTAGCCCACACGAACCCAGCAAAATTGAAACTCTTATAAGAGCCACCCAGCAAATGATTAAAGAAGAAGAGAACAGATTGCAGCTAAGGAAAGCCCCGTCAGACCAACTGGCTTCCATTAATGGGGCTGGGAAAAAACACTCCCTCTGTTTTGCAAACTACCAACAGCCCCCACCGACAGGTGAAGTCTGCCATGGCTCTGCTCTTGCCAACACTTCACCATGTGACCACATCCAGCAGAGAGAGGGAAAAATGCTGAGTCCCCATGAAAATGACTATGACAACAGTCCCACTGCTTTATCTCGGATAAGTAGTCCCAATTCGGATCGCATTTCAAAATCCAGTTTGATCCTAGCTAAAGACTATCTGCATTCGGATATGTCTCCTCACCAGACAGCAGGAGACCACCCTACTGTCTCTCCAAACTGCTTTGGCTCTCACCGGCAGTATTTTGATAAGCATGCTTATACATTAACTGGATATGCCCTGGAGCACTTATATGACAGCGAAACCATTAGAAACTATTCCTTGGGCTGTAATGGCTCACACTTTGATGTAACTTCCCATCTAAGGATGCAGCCAGACCCAGCACAAGGACACAAGGGAACATCTGTTATAATAACCAATGGAAGCTGATGTTTTGCTGAAATATTTTGTTCTTTAAGGATCTCTGAAACATATTTATAGTTTAATACCCCATTACCAGCATTTACTATGCCACAGATTGTTAGAGAGGGTAACTTAAGTTACTGGGTATTTAATACGTGTTCCTATAAAATCAAAGAAAATATAGCACTAGTATTCAGGGTTATACACTGAAAATTGAGCTAAATTGAATACACAAATTTCCCCTCTAATTCTATGGGAACCAGAATAGATAAATTTTGAATTGAAAAAATATTCATGTAGATCAAGTGCGCATACATACCACGTGAGAGGACTGATGAATGGCAACATTGCATTGTGACTATCCAGTGATCCTCATACACACAAACGTTACCTACAAATGGCTGTATACATTTTACACATGGAAATATAGGCTATGTAATGTAAATACACCAAAAATGGGTAATTTTCTTTGACTCTATTACACTAAACTTCATAAAGAAATTTCCATTCCCAAAATAACTGAGAAAGAGAGACAGACACATTTTATAAACTGACTTCTTTGTGGTTTCAAGTCAGCTAGTTCATTTGGTTCAGGCATAAATTAGAGAAATCGTTCTGGATAGGGTGCAGAAATGAGTTTTGACCTGGTATCCATTATAAGCAATCAGGAAGAGGTAATTTTTCACCTCACTTTTCAGTTAGACAAGGACCAAGAATGCTCTGACATGGCACTAAGTGTTTTTCTAAGTAAAAACACCGAGATGTTGGGACACACATCAAAAACCTGGTGTGCTCAATTGGAAATAGCTCTATGAAGATGCAAAGGTCGGAGGCAGATTAAAATAAAATGTTATCTCAAAAGACACAACTTTAGGCTCAGCATAAGTAAACAACTTAGGGCTTGTTTGGAAAACCAACTAAATAAAAAATTCAAATCAATTCACCCAGAAAAAAGACTGATAAGTACAAAAATAAAGGGTAAACCAGTGAAGTGCTACATGACAGCTGTGTAAGTGTTTGAAAACGGTTGAAAGTACATATGTGCCAATGTGACAATATGTGGAAAGCCTCAGGAGAGAGTCTAAGATAAAAGCTTAGGTTGATAGACAAGAAGTTAAAAGCTAAGAGCAGTACTCTGAAGGAATATGCAAAGAGTTTATTTTACTTATTGTTGGCAAACAACAAACTTGGTCTTACATCTGTGTAGTATAGTAGAAAGTCCAGCTGACTGGATCCCTGGGCTCAAATTCTGGCCCTACCTGTAACTTAATTTTGTGACCACAGGTGTATCATTCACCATGCCTGGGCCCTAGTTTCCTGGTTTGTAAGGCAGCGCCAATGTTCCATGGCTCAGTGGTAGAGCAGAACTGAACTTATCACCTAATTAAGTCTCTGCTATGAGTTGTCAGGACTGATCATTCTGGTTTTTCTGTACACAGAAGTTTAGATGGTTTGTGACTTAAGCAGGTGTATGGGCTCTTTTAGGCAGGTTACAGTCAACTTTCTAGATTTAGCCAAAATGAAGTTGGTACAAATTTATGACAGAGAAGAAAAATAGCAAGATTTATTTAATGCACTATTCTCTAGTAATTAAAGCAAAAATGATATAAGTGGTTAGAGAAATTTCATAGATAATATTTCCTGGGAGTCCCATGCCTGAAACTCTTGCCATATTTAAGGAGGGGGGTATACTGGAAGAACTTGACTTATAATTTTGGAAACAGAACATGAAATTGAATACTCAGGGATTAGTACTATATTTTCATCATTTAACAGTTATTTGACAGTCCATAGGTAGGTGACAATCGGAAGGATAACATGAAAGATGAATATTGGGTTGTTTGCATATGAAAGAAGAGGCTACATAAAATTACATAATGTTAACATTTGCGCTGTAAATGCAAAAAAGTAAAGTAAGTGAGAAAGTTAGTGGTTATATATATATTTTTAAACAATTCAAAGGCAGTTGACCCTTGAATAACATGGGTTTGAACTGTGCAGTTTCATTCATATGTGGCTTTTTTTTTCAACCAAATGCAGATAAAAAACACAGTATTTTGAGAAATATGAAACCCGAGTATACAGAGGGCTGATGTTTTGTATAAGTGAGCTCAACAGGGCCAACGGCAGGACTTGAGTATGTTAGAATTTGATTATATAGGGGTGGTCCTTGAAACCAACTCCTGTTTATATCAAGGGGCGACTGTACAATAAAAACTAAATTTTGAATTATACAAACAAGAGTATTTAGTAATTTTGAGGAAATATTTATGAGAAATCCTGGAATACATAAAATGGGGTTTTGATCAGTTTGCAACATGAAGTAACGTTTTAAGAATGCTAAAGTTTTTGTAGAATTCTGTAGATTGATAAATGTTTTGAAGACAAAAATATTTGATGAATAGGGTGTATTTTGGAAAGGGAATTTTCACAGATGGGTATTTCTGGTGGCTATACATTCTACCAAATGTGCCAGGGACAGATGCTAAAAGAAATGGAAATTTAAGAACCAGGGAAAATGAAGGATATTAAAGAAAATACTGTCACTAAAGGAATTTCAGTGAAATTTTTATATGGAAGACAGTTAACTGGTAGAAGGAAGAAATTATGAATTTCACAGATGAGAGTAATCAGAAGGAATAATGCTCTTTAAAATGACATGACCAATATTTTTAAGGAAATACATACTTAACTAAATTATATCTTGATTCAATATTTTGGTAGATTGACCCAGTTTTAAGTTAATAACCATTTTAAAATTTGCTGAATGTCAATAATTTTATAGTAGCACCTTTACTGCATTACATAAAATGTCATATTGACTCAACGTATTGTATAGCTTACATATTTTGCAATATGGCATGATTATCACAAAAGGACCCAAGGTAAGTTAAGATATTTGATGACAATGTTCCTTGTTAATATACATGTGAATGTGTTAAAATGTATTTATAATCTACATTATTTTGTTCTGCGCAGGAACATATTTCCTCATAATGAAAATGTCATCTGTGTCTTTTAAAAATATAGTATATAAAATAAATATGTTCCTGATAACTTAATCAGTTAAACTTAATTTGGCTTTAGTTTTAATTCTTGATTTCCATAACTTTGCCAAATGCTGAGAACCATGAAACTTGATTAAAATAAAGAAGTATGATTTTTATATCACCTTGGGGATAAATAAACATGTGCTTTATCAAATTGCCAGTATACTATGTATCAATTCATTAAATGAAACATAGCTCATGGTTTTGTAGAATTCTGGTTTCTAGTAATAATAGGTATCTTTATTTCCCATTTCACCTGCCATACCTACTTTAAAAATTTGGATGACCAAAGAAATAAATGAATGTTCCCCCAATCTTTCTTGGGAAAATTATGTTTAAATTATTATTGAGAATATACAGATTTGATGTGTTATTTTGGGATGCATAATATTAACGTCGCAATCACTACAGGTCAGATATTTAGGCGTGCTTCAGCTCCACAAGTCTTTTGTCATGTTATGCATAATATAATGTGCTTGCTTACCTAAACTGTAATTGCCTGATAAAAGATAATATGACAGTGCTGAGGTGACATTCAAAATGAGACAGGATGCAATAAATAATTTGCCCTCTGTGTCTATACAGAGAAGCCACTTGCTCTTTTTTGGTTATATTTTGTAGGGCTAGATTATTCCATTAGGTACTATTCTTAATTCACTCTATACCATGTTGTCACATGCTGCCTCTGGGCAGAGAATCCCACTTAAAATAAGCTTTAAAGGGATCTTCTAAAAATGGATAATTTGCTTCAATTTTTATTTCTTCTTCTTATGGGGGATGAGGATCAATTATAATACAAGACCATTTGGAAAATATGCATAGATATTTTTAAATGAAATAAAAGACTTCTGCCCTCAAGATCTAAACCAAATAAGTTTGATGGAAGGCAGCACAGGTAAAGAGACCTTCTGAATACAGATTTGATTTTGATAGCTCTCTCTCTCTTTCAATAGTAGGATATTACTAAGATATTCAATGCATTCAGTCCTAATAGTATTTGGGAGTGACAGAGTGAATGCTGATATTTGGAGAACTGAGATTTGACCATTTTGGGGTCACTCACTTTGCCTCCTGGAATAGCTTGTACTTTAATACAACCAAATGCAGTCTTTCTGATTTAAAATGTTTGAATGCCCGGATTTGGTTTCCTAGTTCACTCAAATCATAGATGTAGACATACATTCCTGTTTTCACAATGATTTAAAAAAGAATGTAAATCCTATGGTCCTCCAAATAAATGATTCAACTTTCATGTAAATGTCAAGTTTTTGTGAATAGGGACTTATGTCTCAGACAGAAAAACCTATTGATCCAGTTCTTACTGTGGAGCTTATTGTGGGTAAAACATTCTATCACTCTAAATTTTAAATGAATGACAGAACAGTTATGGACACATGCAAAAGGTATCAGACATAGAAAATATTCTTGGGGAAATTTCTGTGTGGCGCTAATTTCTTGTGCACAAGGGTTGTATGGATAGTGGTTAACTCAAAAAGTGAGAGTGTAGTCATTTCCACATAGTGGTTTGTTCAGAGTTCCTTCTCTAGGACTGTATACAGAAAGCATATATGCACACATACATAAAAAATATGATTTTTATATCATATTCATGAAAATGTGCCATATCCAATTATAACATACACACACAAATAAATGCTGGTTCACACAAGAAATCCTAATTGCTAATTTTAAACCAAACATTTGTAATTTTGTTTATTGCAACTTTGCTGCATGGGACTTTGCTTTCATAAATCTATATCGTGGGGGAAATTTGCCCTAATTTGCTGATCTGGGACACATGTAATCACAGTTAAATTTATATCCAATAACTCTGATATGTTTACATTTCAAAGAAAATGAAATTGGCATGGAAATTTTTGAGAATACAATAAGTTTTTTTTCTTTTTTTTTTTCCCAAAGGGAAATATTCCAAAAAATGAAGTATTATGAGTAGGCACTTCAAAAAAGATAAAATATTTTACATTTGTTTTTTGACTAATGTGCTATAAAAAGGATTATATTTGTGAGAAAAGATACTGATTGCCAATATTTCAAATACCATCTTGCAATGTATAGTTTTTAGTGACATTGTAGTATAAAGCTGTAATTTGAAATTTTACTTTGGAATGTAAAGTAGAAAATATTAGCTATGTCAATGATATCTTGCAAAGTGTTCCCATTTATAATTATTTATATTGTAAATAGCTTTCTGAAGTAAATTCGAAGTTATGTGCATAAAATGTATTTATTATGTCAGGAATTTTTTGGTTTAAAATATAGTTACTAATATGCAGTTTGAGTCTGAGTTATTCATTGAAAGAAAAATCTCTGTAGGACAAAAAAGACTGTCAACTAAAAGAATACTGTAAAAAAACAGGAACTATTTTAGCTCTAGATTCTATTGAAATGGGTAGCACTAAACACACACAACACACATACACACAGACACACATGTGCACACGCACACACACACACACACAACACACACACACACATACTTTAAGAGACCTGAGAATAGAAGCATATACATACACACAGCAACTATTAATGATGAGCCTGTGTTTTACTAGACACTGGAGAATGGTTTTTCAATGCTTCATTAGGACATCTTAAGCAGGGCTTCTTTGTTAAATAAAGCAGAAAATTTGAAAGTAATGATTATGTTTTAAATGCCTAAGTGAATAGAAAACCTATAATATTGATATTATTTAATTTGCTGTCATTTAAAAATACTCTCAGAATAATGTTCGTTTCAGAATTCAAAGTATTTTAAAAATTCAGAATGAAGAGTTAAGTTCAACAAAAATAGATTGCAGTCTATTCTAGGTAGCAATCTATTCTACCTGGCAATCTATTTTTTTCTCTTAAGCATTTTCATAATGTCCAACATGTTTTTCTTTTTCTCCTCTGGGAAT